TCCAAGTGAGTCATTTTTTTTTCATGTACTAGTTTTGTCTTTATTTGAAAGAATACGTATGTATGTATGTATGTATGTATGTATGTATGTATCTCTAATAACGTTATAGTCTACAGGTGTGTTCAGAATAGCTGCCGAGTTTAAGGACTGGGCGAAGATGCTCCTCAATGAAACGGGGATGAACTTCAATAGTACTATGGATGACTGAACATTGTGTGAAAACCTAGAAGAATATTTATTTTTACATTTTTAGCTGTTTGGCTCGATTTACCCCCATTCCTTGAGGAGCTGCTTTATGGGTACCCTCCGATGTTCTGCCTTCATGCTTTTATTCATGTGATAATGGGAGGAAGAGGATGTGGTCAGCCTCCACTTAAACTGGCTCCACCATTAAGGTCAGTCCCCTTTGATTTTGCAGCTGTGATCCCAGAACTGTATGGTGTCCATAACATCGTGGACTCAAATATCAAATATTACATTTTAGGTTAAAATTCAGTCAAGAAGCTCAGACGGGGTTGTGGTTGGACCTTATAGTAGGACAATAAAGCAAGGGATACCTTCATATCCACACAAAGAATAATCACTAACCCCACCACAAATCCTGTGGGCTGAGCTGCAGAGGAGATTCCACAAGTGAGGACCGAAGACTCCAAGCATCTGGAGAGATCTGGAATAGAATCATAGATCACAGCCAGTGGTGTCTCTGGCACAGAAAGCCTGGTGGGGCAAAATGAACTATGGGAGCAGATGACTTGTCAATGAAACTACACACAAGCCTATACACACAAACACTATCATTGAAATCACACATTCTCAAATTAACATAACGTGGTGAAGGAGTGAGTGGAGATGGGAATATGAATGATATGATAACATTAGATCTCACAAAACCTTGTTATACAGCATCACATTACAAATCCAAAGTTATCTATCAGTAACAATCACTGTCGTCTGCAAATACATATTCAAAGCAACATATCAAAGCAGAGAAACACGCTTTCCAGGCATTAGGAATAACACGACCTGTAATAATGCAGAATGACTCACCAGTGATGGTCACTGCTCGAAAAGAAAAGATGTGCGACAATCTTTCATCTGGGCAAACTTGTCAAAAACTTTCAAAGTCCACCAATCCATGAATGAATTCAACAGTAACAAGAGCAGGCAAGAAAAGCAGGGGAGTGTTTTTAGCTAAACTCAGTTAGCCATGTTTTTCTGTTGAACCTCTCTGCACTGAAGGAGCAGTTTTTGTCCTTTCCAGACTGAAAGATGTTGAAATCCTCTGGCTGGTGTGTCCCAAACGTCTAACCTCTAATTTCTGCTCTAATGGCTGGTACAAAATTATTTTTATTGACTCATTATATTGCCTTGCTATTATGAGTGGCTACCACAACTAATGAGGAACAATGGCTGGCTGTGTAGCAACGTCCACACTGTAAACAACGTTTACTAAACGTCTGGATGTGTCATTTTTTTTACTGGCTGCATTCGGCATTTCTGCCTTCCACCCAATGACAGCTGGGGTAGGCAATGTGTGTGTGTCTACCTTCAGCATGGGGCCAGCGTGACCGGCTCCACAGCTGGTTATTGAAAGCGCGTCGAACATGCGCAGTGTTTAACAGCTCACTCGGTTAGACGAACGCTGACAGTGTCAGTCAGCAAACGAAGACTGCTAGGAGAAATAGGCTGACTGCTGCCATTTACACAACAGGTACAGGAAGATATCTGGAATGTATGGACAGCCCCAGCATTGTCATATGTAATAAACGCGCAACAATGTTAGTTCCGAAAAAAAATATATACATGTATATTAGTTGTTATACTGAATTATTGATCATGTTGTGCGCTGCTCCACAGCGACATCTGGTGCGACCAGGCTCCACCAACCCCTAATGTAGAGAGACCACTGTAAACAGCATAGAAAGAATGGCCCTAATAAAGAAGGTAATGAATAATTCACTTATTCAACGTAACAGTGATTCAGAAAATATATTTTCAAAAGTGCTCTTAGTATTATATATTAAACAATAAAAACAATACAGTATTTATCATACAGGTACAATATATATGAAAGCAGGTGTTCATCACAGGAAAACGTAATGACTAATACAGAACATAAATGAGTTGAGAAATAGAAATTCAGCCGAGCACATAGTGAGGTGCCTGTTTGTTCCACTTTTTATACACAATTTGCAACACATCATTTGAAAAGGGCACGATAAACTGACCATTATAATCTAATAATTATTGTTGGACTGGAAGTCTAAAGAAACAGCCTGTCCAAAATACTGGGAGCACAATTATAGAATCACAGGAGGAACTGGGTGAAACAATATACTGTATCTCCACATCAGCCTAGCTTATCTAGCTGCACTATATGAGCTGAAGTAGCCAATAGCATTGAGTTTTTGTTCACAACCTCCACATATGCATCTCACTCGACAGCACTAGGTGTTATACTGCCTACTCATTAATGCAGGACTCACATGAATTAGTCTTGAGGATTAAATAAATATAGTGCTACTGTTGGGAATCAGAGCCTCATATTTACAAATAATCAATAACTCCATCAGGCACTTACAACAAGTCATTATGAAGCCAAGTCTGGGTTAACCTAGGGCACAAATCCACAGTCAAAAAGTCTGCTTTTTACACTACTCTGCCGAAACTGACTCTCTCAGTCTGATCAGCAGTTCTTAAACAAATAACAAAGTACTTTATCTGAACCATCTGGAATTTGCATATACAACCTGAGAGGGGAAAAAGATTTCACACCACAAAGCAAAACTGTCTTATCAGCTGTTTCCTCAGTGGCATGACGCACATGGTTATTGCCAACGTTTACCACAAGATGGTGCCTGAAGTGCTACAAAATATCACTGTGAACACAAGTCTCATTTCGCACAGGTATTGCATAATGATAAATATCTTAGGTAGAGAGAGAAAGTACCTCATACCAGTCCCTTTAAGGCCCAAAGAGGAATTGCACCCACCCATATACACAACACTCTGTTGTGTATATTTACCATAAACTCAGCAAGGCCAGTTTCAGCAATTCCTTACTGGGACATTAATACTACAATACAGCTTAAACACACCACACAGCTAAAGTGCAAAGGTCTGAATTGGTTGTAGTCTCTGATCACAGTATATGCAGTATTATGCCAGTCAGAGACCACCCTTCCAGTCAAAATGGCCATTAAGCCAAGTTGATTTTTAAACATCAGGGACAAAAAAAGAAGAAAACCTATATTTAACAGCAAATTACACCTAAATATATATAAATATAATATATTTAGTGTGTTAACTCTTTGCCTTTAATACAGACTTGATTTCAGTTTTTTGAAGAAATCTGCAGGGATATTTTCCACACCTCCAAAGTTCAGATTTTTATCAGATTGGCTTGCTCATCTCACAAAGATGAAAGCTGTAACCCATGTGTGGTGTTCAGGTCTGTGGGATCCATTTTCAATGTTGCCCAAAAGTAAAAAATGATGCGATTTATTATTATTAATTATTTCAACCTCAGATTCCTTGGTTTTTGCTCATTTTCTGTGAAGAACACATAAAAAACCCATTTTCAGTGTCTTCACTCTGTTCACCCCCCACACATTTATATTACACATGTGGTGTTGGGTGAACCCGTGGGGAATAGAAGTTGGAGGTGCTGTGTCCTTCACTCTGTTCTCCTCCTACATGGCCTGCTGTTAGTGTGTATGTGTCTGTGTGTGAGGGTGGACAACATAGACAGGCTGCTGATTGGCTAAAGGAGAACCCTACGCTGGACACTTGTGATATTTTAAACATCTGGTATTTTTACAGAAATTGTTATGGCTGTATTGATTTAATAATCAATAATGAGGTGGATCAACACCACACAAGGGTTAGGTACTGTTTATCTGATGGTGACAGTTGTGGTCTACCACTGACATTTACAGCATTTGGCAAACACTCTTATCCAGAGCAACTTACAACTTGATCATTTTACACAGGTAGGTGAAGGTAGTGTTAGGAGTCTTGCCCAAGGACTCTTATTGGAATAGTGTAGGCTGCTTCCCCAGGCGGGTAACTGAATCCTAGTCTACAGCGTAGAAGGCAGTCCAATAGAGTCCAATTAGAGTCCAATAGAGTCCAATTTTTTTTGTGTATCTTTAAATATTTTTTTGCTTTCCAATTCCTTATGCAAGTGGATTATCTCCTTTGTAATCTCCTCAGATATATCACCTGAAAAATATCAAATATATGTTTAATGACTGTTTTGAGTGGATATTAAATAAATGAATGGTGGTCTCTAACCTTTGCACAATACTGTGTGCAGGGAACATACATGTAATTTTTACTTAACATTAATATATATATAAAAATACCAATACACAACAGTTATTGAGCACATGTATGGAGACAACTGTTAATGACCGTCAATAAATATAAAAAAACAAAAAGTGCTGGAAGACAGGAATTGAACAAGATACTCTAATCATCATGATTTTAAGTCTGACAGTTCCACCCTTATCAACTGCACTCTCAAAATAGATGTGTTCAAAACAACAGGTAGGACCTTAACTGGACACGTCTGTTGCTTTAAACACATTAACACAGTGCTGGAAGCTTTTTTATGTGACAAAGGACCGAAATCTCCACACAAGCAGAACCAGCAGTCAGAATTTCCACCACACAGACTTCTAGAGTGTCTGTGGAGTGTCGGGTCAATCACAGTGACGAGATATGCTTGGAGCAAATCGAGAGAGAGTTCCATTAAAGTTGGTTAACAGACAGTATAGAGAGCAAGTGCTCCCTAATTTGTGTGTGTTTAGTATACTAGAAGAGGAGGAAGCACTCTGCCGGTTTCATTTTGGCTACCACATTTGATAAGTATAGCACAGACACCACAGTGACATTTTCAAAGCAGAGATGAAAATGCCAGGGTATATATATATATATATATATATATATATATATATATATATATATATATATATATATATATATTACATCCTGGAGCCATCATAAACACGGCACTGAAAAATATAAACCACATTTTTAAAAGTCTAAGGGGAAAGAAAATTGAATACCGAAGCACAGTAAACGTGCTTTAGTCTGAATTAGCTCTAATATAGAGCACTTCACAATTAGAGCCTTAGTGCAAGGCCTTATAAATCTCATAACACAGAATACGGTCATACTGGTCACTCACAATGCTACCAGGGTGTGCTACCAGTGATCAATACCGTGCGAGAAAACTCATTGCATAAGATTACATGGATGAATTACCTGAATCTAACAATAATACAGAGTAATAGTAAGTTAAACGAGTTGCTTCAGTGTGGGTATAAATATAATATGCAGTAAAGTGATTACAAAAGGAGAGTTCTTTTTTTTTAAATTATAAATAGTTGTTTTGTTTGGTAAACTGCCACGGAATGTTAGAAAACAAACAAACAAACAAACAAACAAACAAACAAAAAACTCTATGTGCCCACATACACGTCCACACAGGATCTGGGAAAAGCTTTTCCCTTGACGTTTAAAGTCTTTAGAGTTGATTTAAAGCGTCCTCTTCACATCCACTGCCATTTCATCTCTCGAATTAGTCCCATGTGAAATAAAAAAAAAAAAAACCAAAAACAAATCTTAACGAAAAACCACAAAGGCTCAGTGCTGGCCTGGAGTCTATAAATAGATCCCCCTCCTCAGAGCTCAGTGTAGATATACATCAGTGCTGAACACGGAAAAAATTCAACGCACAGCAACATCACGTTTTGCAGCCTCCTGTTCAGGGGGATCTTTAGTACTTCTCTGAGCTGCTGTATTGAGGCTCAGGCCTGCTGGACCAGTCTGCGGTAGTGTGGCATGACCTTACTTTCAGGCAGGTAGAGGGCCATCTCTAGAGCCACCAGCACAGTGAACTCGACTGAGATCAGCTCCCGTCGGCTGATACGAAACCTCTCCTCTAGTTTCTGGAAAGAAAAGAACGGAATACAGAAATTAACCCCTTAATTCACGTCCTGAAGCTCAAAAATGGCAACGTCAAAGACGTTTGTGTTCAGAGTTTCGTAAAATAATTCCGTAATGTAGGGCAGAGCAATAAACATATTTTGTTTTTTGCTTGATCATTCAAGTATTTAGGCAAGATTAATTTACAAATCAAAAAGATTCATCCAATTTCAAAGCGCCATATTTTCAAAACCATGAGGCATCTAGGAACCAAATCACATACCGATTGAAAGAGGGGGTCACAGAGTTTCTGACTGTCACTGGAAGATGGCTCCCTTCAGTCTGAGAGGAGATGAGACCCCTGAACAGAAAGCGTTCTGCGTTCTCCACTTCAATAAGAGTGAATCCGTCATAACTGTGTATCATGATTTTAGTGGGCAGTGAACCTCCAACAGCTCAGAGCGTTCGTCGTTGGTTCCACAACACTGGATGATCTCCGAAATCGCACTGAAAGAGCCGTGAGTGCAGCGACACCCGACATGCTCAATCCAGTATGGGATGAATTTGACTATGGTGTTGATGTCTGTACAGCTGGAGGAGGTTCATATTGAGCACTTGTAAAATAACATAATAAACTTTATGCTCATTTAAACCATTTACAGTTTACTGCATTGTTCTGTAATGATTTACAAGAGAAATAAATCATATTGAAATCGGATGAATCTTTTTGGATCACCCTGTTCTTTCCAGAAGAAGCAATCCACGCATCTCAGCTACAAATAAAAATGTAAACATTGTTTCCAGCACCTACTGTTTATGAACAATTTAGCCCAAAGTGGTGTAAGTCGACATGTAGCAACTTCTCCCATAGATGGGATTAGTTGTGATAGACTTAGGGCACTAGTTGTAACAGTCACTAAAATATCTGGTAAATTAAGGCAAAAGATAATTAATTCAATACGATTCTAGGGTTTTAGAACCAGATGAGCTTTCCAACCTCAATACATTATACATTATACAATATATATTCAACAAATTAAATATGTTTAGTTAAAAGAGGCTGCGTTGAATGTGTCAATTGTATTTTTGACCACAAACTCAACACATTTTAGCACAATAAAATTTTAATAAATTTTATTATCATGGCATCTGTAGCACATTTTTGATGAATCTGCATAAAAGCTTGCAAAATACTGACTATGTTGAATTTTTGTGGGAGGATGATGACTTTGATTCAAAACTGTGCTAAAACATCACTGTGTGAAGGCTGTACTTTATCCTGGCTAGCCCACCCTGTCAGTGATTTACATGCTCCAAAATGGTGCTGCATTACAGCCACCAGTGCAACAAATAAAACAGTACAGGAGTGAATTCTGATTAAAACACAACTCAGTAATCAAAAAATGCTTCAGATGAAAAAGATCACTTTTATGGTACAAAAAGATGAACACTGAGAAATATCTTTCCGACTGCTGTGAAAATTCCCAATTAAAGTTACTATTGGAATATGAAAACATGACTAAAATCACTTCAGATGCGTTGCTGCCATCAAGTTGTAAATGAGTTAAGTTTTCATGCAATGGTAAAATGTCTCACTTTCAACATCTGATATGTGTTCAATGTTCTTGCAACTTGCAAATCATTGCAATTGTTTTTTTTTTTTACATAGAAAATATTGAAAATTGTATTGAATACTGACCTCAGAATCCCAAACTGTATTAAACCTGAAGATATGTGTATCATTACACCCACTGTATAGTTTTTTTTTTTCGTGTACTCACATCAATCAGCTGTTTGACCTCTTGTTTCTTGAGATCGCTGCTGATCTTGGCTGCCAGCAGAAGGCACGCGGCTGCTACCAGCTTTCTGTTCTGCTTGTTCAGATGGCCCTGCAGCACCAGCTTCTCAAAGTAGGCGAATGCCATGGCTATAGTGACCGGCTGTAGACTGCACTCCTCCCCCACAACACACATCTCTCTCTTCAGACTGATCATGCAAAAGACAAAGAGAGAAAGACTCAGACAGAGAAAATAAGAAACATTTAAGAGCCAGAGTTAACACAGGTATCAACTTTCAGAGATTTTACTGCAATATAAAATTATGTCCGGTTAACATTTAATATCTTTATATCTACAAAAGGTCTCAAATAAGGAGGAGTTCATTTAAATGCAGTTTTTAGTTCTGCAGGGATTTTCTGATCCCTGTAAAATCTAATTTTGTTTCACTTATAGGGATTCAGGTGGATTTTTTTAGTGAGATATACAGCTCAAAACTCCTCCCGGCTCCCAGCTCCAGTGTCATTAGAAAACTCTGCAACAGCATGTTTACGGTCATTACTTTTCTTTATTCAAATCTTGTTCAAATTCATTTTTTTAATATATAAAAACACATACATTTCTTTAGAACGATATTTAAAAAAAGCATTATTATCATTTAGACTTTCATTCCCATATGCTGTACTTTTACTTGTAACAATTTTAGATATAAGTGACAGAATAACAGCTGATGTTTAATGGCAAACTTATTTTTATATTTCTCTAAAAAAGGTGGTATTAATCATAATATATCAAATAATATTTTTGCACATGTAAAGCCCACACTCAACAATGTGTATATGAAAGAAAAAAAGAAAAACTTAAGTGTTCTATAATGTGGAACTCTTCATATACTGTCAATAAGCATCTATACATTTGTGCTGCAAAGAACTCTTTTCTAGTGAATGTACTGATATCTGCATGAGAGAGAGAGAGAGGGAGAGAGAGATAGAGAGAGAGAGAGAGAGAGAGATAGAGAGAGAAAGGGAACGTGTGTCATCTGTATTATTACATAAAAGCACTGCTGTATACATCCCACTTACACACGTGTCCAGCTTTGATGATGGGCGCTCATTCATGTGCGATCACCAAAGGATTCTTTATAACAATCTAGTAACTGTTCTCTATAAACAGCAAAGTCCCACATACCGTGTAAAACGTCTGACTGGTCAAAATCAACCCAAAGACACTGATTTTTCCACAAAGGAATTTAATTAAAAGTGTCTCGCTTGTCAAAATGCTGAAACAGAAGTACTCAAAGCCTTGTACCACAGATGATTATCAACAACCAAAGCGACTGGTTAGATTAAAAAAGGTTAGGCGAGGTGAAAGTGAAATCAAGTATGTTGTTCACTGAATCAATTATCCTCAAAAACATGAAAATGGCAGCCAGCCCAACCAGGCAAGTGATTTTCAATGCCGCTGTCCCCACTTGACATTTTACTTGCCCTAGTCGAATCAGGCAATTATTAATGCTGAACACTGCATGATACTAATACTTAATACTGACTGACGAAAGATCAATTCAACCATCACTCAATCAGGGTTTTGCAGCTCAGATCAAAATGATGGACAGTGGAAAAATGTCAAAATACGCTGTAACCTAGTGACAACATGTAAAGCCAAAGTGACTTGAATTTTTTGTCTTTTCCATTTGATTCAAAATCAAGGTCAGCTTAACTTGCTAGGCACTTTTATACATGCCACAGCGCAGAGTATCATGCAGTTCACCTCTCTGGAGGCATCTGCACTCACGCTGTGTTTCTCCACTCATTTATTTTCTTCTTTAATTTGTCATCTAAAGCTGGAGAAGGTGGGATAGTTTTACTCTAAAAAATGAAAACTCTCAGCATTCCTTATTTAGAACCTCTAAAGGATCAATCTGCAGACCTTTCGGACATGTTTTCATGAGCTCTAATCTAAAAAAATAAATCAACTAAAAAAAAGTATACTCTTCTCTGACTAAGTCTCTGACAGGAGCTTCATTAAAACATTTTAAGCAAAAACATTAGACAAAAAACATAATTACAGAGAACTGAACACAGAAGATCATTTGATCTATGCCAGTTGGCTACACCTTCATCTTTAAGCATGATAAGCACCCAAAGAGAAGCATATGTACATATATAAATACAGGTGAAAACGTAGAAAAATCTTACCAGTATGAAACAAATCTAATGAATACATTTAGAACAAGTAAACTAAAGATCAACCCTCACCCACTGATGGGTTTGCAGCTCAAATCAAAAGGATGGAAAGTGAAAATGTGTGAAAATACACTATAACCTAGTGACACCATGTAAAGCCAAAGTGCCTTGAGTTTCAGTTATCTTAACCGTTTTAAAAACAATCTTAATTCACAGCAGTTAAGAAGAAAGTACTCTGATCCGGAAAGCTCACCCCTCTGACGTAAAGATCTAGAACTACAGGGAAAAGTTTTCTGCCACAACACTAAGGACCACCGGGTTGGTGTAACGAGGCAGGTTGACGCACAGATACAACTTCAAATCAGTGCATCACTTCTACTAACTGCTGATCTGTGTTTTTGCTGTATATCAGAAGTAGAGTGGTGCCCTTCCTGTGTGCTTTGTGTGGATGTGTGTGGCCTACCTCCTGATCTTGCTGAGTGTGAGCTTGATGTGAGGAAACTTGTCCTTAAAGGTCTCGTTCATGTCTTTCTTCAGATCTGACGGCTTCACATACTCTATCACTGTAGTCTGAAAGAGAGAGTGAAAGTTAGAGAGGAAGTAAAGTGTCTGAGTTAAACACAAATAGAAAAATATTAAATACGTTCTCGTCACAGCCTCCACAAACCTGCTATACTATAACGAGCAGTATTAGGGTGTGCTCAGTGATGACGTTAACTGGTGTATATATCTGTGTCTGTAGGTCAGAGAAGCCCTGGCTAAAATATAGCCTGAATCTATATGCAGCTCAACCTCACAGCATGGAGGCTAAACAACAGAGCAGAGAGATGGAGCGGTAGGGTTAGTACAAGAGAACGGATCAACCCGAATATGACCCCCTCAAAGACACCAAAACAAACCAGTCACAGACTGCTGTCAAGGTCTAATTCCTTACTAACGCCAACGTAGAGAAAGACAGACAGGAAGCCTGGAGAGTGTCGGAGCAGAATGACTGACGATGCTCTGCCCACAAATGTTTTTTCCCCCCCAGTGGTTGCAAGGTTGAATAAGCTTTACAGAACATGGCCAAAAGTCCTATTCAGCACAATGACAAATTGTAGAGCACTTTGTTTGGAGTCCCTGCATAACACTGAACTAGAGCTGGGCGATATGGCCAAAAATGATCAAGATAAAACATTTCATATCAGTTGATATCAATACATTTCGCAATAAATGTCAAATCTTTATTTCTTGCAAGGTTGAAGGCTGAATTTTGCTTCTGAGTGGTCAGTTATCCTTTATGGTCAGAATGTGACAAACACTCACCGAACAGTGGAACATTTCACAGATCTGTCATGGGACAGTGGGAGAAATTTTCGGGTCAGCTGTTTTTACCAGCCTGAAAAGCACGGCCACAGTTTTTGGAATATTCATAATTTAAGAAAGAAAACAGATTATTTTAGCTGTCTGGTGACGAGCGCTCGGCTATCTGGTTACAAGCGCTAAACTGTTTAGTTTCTCAACAACGTCAGCTTAATAAGAACAGCAAACATTATCTGGCTCGGTACGTCAGTGATGGATCACACCGCCTTACTGTCGTCACTCCCACCACATCCATGTCAGAGCATATCACAGTATTCAGACACCAGCTAGCGACGCCTGGGTTTCTCTATTCTATCGTAGTAGTTTGAGGGGTGAACTGCAGTATATCTGACGCTCACTGTGTAAAAGCATTAACTGCAGTGTGGATCTCTAACACCCGACAAAGAGAGTCCTTTTTAGGTACGTTTAAACTGAAATCGGTTTTGTCTTGTTTGACAGTAGCATCGACAGTAACATCGATTCGCCATGCTGTGTGAACGACAGAGCACTGCTTCAAGTTAGCCAGCTGCTAAAAACAGCTAGCCTGGGAAGCTAACCTTCTCCCACTCTCTAATGGTACACATACAGCATCCTCAAGTTTTTTTTTTTGTTTAAATCAGGTCTGTAACTCTCATGAACCCATTTCTTTGTTTTACTTTTGCTGCTTGGGAATGCACTAACACTAAAATATGACTGAGCGCTTTAGTTGTGTGGAGCAGATGTGATTTTACATTGCTAAAGCTTGTTAGGATGCTAGGAAAGAGGTGAATTTGCTCTGGGCCAGTATAGTTACACCACTTATCACTCATACTTGATCACAGGAGAAGAGATCGCCGGTCACTCCACTCAGACAGGGAATATATAACTCCACCAATTGAGACGTTGCCAAAGTGTATTTGGCGACTCATTTTACTTGTCACCCCCTCCCTCTCTAATCACGTAGAAAAACTCGGAAGTGCGCCCTCTCGTGGCAACAGCAGAGTAGTGTCACTTGCCTTGCAGTAGAAAATACCACCAGGGCAGTCACTAAACATAGAAGTATGAGAATTCTCTATTATATCGAAGATTTCTTATATTTCTATCGAGGAAAGTTATATCGCGATAATTATTTAACGTTAACGTTTTATCGCCCAGCCCTACATTGAGCTTACAGTCTTAAATGATACCCTTCTGAGCTACCATCCTAATGTTAACTCGCTTACATCATAAAAAAAAAAAAATCCAACCTTTTTTCAACTGTGACTGTTCAAAGACAAAAGAAATATCATTTGAAATTAATAACACACTATGAATCTCAGCTCTTTGCTACAGTCTATCATTAAACTGAATAACATTTTTTGCCAGCATTCTGCTGGTCCAACCTTGCAACTCACTATGAAAGATGTGTAGCTGGAGCATGAACAGATAAACTGATCAGGTATAGTAAGAGTGGCTCTTTCAAGTAATTCAACCAAAAATGCTACGTTCATTTAGCCTCCATAGCAGGTCCTTCTCATAGAAATTGGAGCACCAAATGTTTACATGTTGACCAGTTCCTTTAATGAGTACACTGATAAGAAAATTACAGTCCAGTACCAATAATCCGTACGCCCTATTACAGTCCATATTTACAGTTTAGCATCTATAGAAATACCACATTAAAAAGCTCAGACATCCTTATTTCATATTGCGTACATGCCATCATTTATATCTCTTTTTAATCCCCAAATCCTTCCCTCTCAATTACCATGTAGGAGGCAAAGATCAGCACTCTCTTGTGCTTCCCACAAGGCCACTGCGGGTCACTTAGCAGGTTGGGATCGTAATCAGTGTCATCCAGACCTGGAAAAAAAACAACAAAAACAAATTTATCTTTATTGCATTTAATAAGTTGCCCACACACTGAAGCTAATGTAACTTCATCCAGTAAAACGGAATGGATTTTCTTCTGTTGGAGAGCAAGCAAATGTCCCCACAACACAGGACTTTTTCACAAATTTTGTCCCCACACAGAAAGACGAGTTAAAGTACCTGTAATTTAAGTGTACCTGGCTCCGAGACCCTCCCTTATACTGCATTTCACTTAGAAATATGGACAGTATGGAAGCAAAATGTGTTGATTTCCGATTCAAGTTGACTTTAACAAGAGAATCATTAACAGACTTAGGCTTCAAATAAGTTCAAAAGATGCTCAGTCTAAGAAATTCATCTCTTCATGCAAATCCAAAAATGGAAAGATGTCTCCAGCAGGTCTCTGTTCTCTCTGGCCAAAACCCTCTTGGTTGACGACAACATTACATCTGACACTTCACTAAGGCATGAGGTTTGATTTCACCTGCCTCTCTCTCCAACTCTCAGCTATATTCAGAGATTGATCAGAGAATATCTCTCTTTTCCAGCTTTGTAGTGATTTGCAGAACCCTCTCCTTCTAAGGGGACAAGCAGACTCAAACCATGCCAGCAAAAATGTCCCCCAAAGCATTACAGAGCCACTGGTCAAGCCTGTACCGTTCTTTTGATGTACGCCACACATGCACTCGCCCACCTGTGGAGAATACTGAAAGATGACTCATCTGACCACTACTTTCCACATCTCTGTAGACCTATGTCTGCGGTTTTTGCCCAACTGAACTCTCAAAAGTGCATTCATGTTTGTAATGAGGAGTTTCCATGCTGTAACCTTTCCATTATATCCTTCTCTATATAGCTGTGGACAAACTGTTTTTGCTGACACAGTCTGATCACATCCTTCACTGACATTCTCAGTCAGCTGAGAAACAGTTGCTCTTTTATTTTTCATTACATCTTAAACAAAAGCCCACGCATTACGACCCCTGAACATACTCTCCCAACCAACCCTATTTGCTAATGTTTTTCCAGTGCAGTCTCTTTAGTCACTGTTCCTATTGCAACACTAGCCAGTTGAGCAGTCTTTGTAACTGAGGCTCCTGCCAATAGGCCCCAATAATGAACCTTCTTTCAAAGTCATTTAGATCTTTTCCACTTGATTTAAAATCAAGGTCAGCTTAACTGGTTAAGCATTTTTATACACACAGCATGACAGGATGTTAATTGCTAAACTGTATCATGCAGTTCACCTCTCTGGAGGCATCTGCACTTGCGCTATCTTTCTCCATTCATTTATTCAGGTTTTCTTCTTTAATTTGTCAGTCGTCTAAAGCTGGAGAAGGTGGGATAGTTTTACTTTAAAAAAGAAAACTCTCAGCAATGCTTCTTTAGAACATCTACAGGATCAATCTGCAGACTTTTCAGACATGCTTTCATAAGATCTAATCTAAAAAAATAAATCTAAGGAATATACTTTAGATTAAGTAAACTATAGTATAATCTTTATTTAAAGTACATGCTTTCTGTGCCTATTAGGCTTCACAAGGACTTTTTTAACATCTGGTCTAGTAAGTATGTATGATGTAGAACAATAAATCAACTTTGCAAAAGTGCTGTGCACTGTTAGAAATAAAGGTTCTGTGCAGGTTAATTTTTTGTTCATCAAGGTACAAACAATGTAAATGTTCCCTCAAAAGGTACAACAGTGGTTTTAAGGTCCAACTATGCACCTTAAGTAAGTTTTTCCAGGTGAAAAGTTTGTATTTGTACCTTTTCAAAATCTAATGATTTAAAACAGAACAATAAAATAAAAAGCCTGGAGACGAGACGGGGTGTGTGGAGTCAGTACAGCTTAGAAAATATAATTTCAGTGGATTATGGTACAGTTATGGTTCAGTTATGCTCCCTGACTAAAGGTACTGATACATCCCCTTGAGGGAACCACCTTATTGACAAGAGGGGGACTGCCCCAGTGACAGTTTACTACCTTTATTTCTGAGAGTGTGTGATGTGTCACAGTTGCCAAACAGCACAACAAGGTTTACCATCTTAATCTTTTTAAATCTCTTAGTCACACAAAGCCACTTATTAAAAATCAAATAAATGGTTAGAAATTTGTTTATTAAGGTCTGTTCTGTTTACCCTTTTTGGATTGGTAAAATCCAGGACTTAAGTTTGTTTGTCTTCATCAACCTTTGCAGAACACTTGCCAATTTTCTAACATGAAATTCTTTTCTTGAGAAAATTATCTTCAGGCAAATTGCAGCAGCGTTTGGAATGCAGAAAACATCTCAGACCGTAAATGGTTTGCTTTACATGGATCAAAAACGCTCCTATTTTGGCTCTAAATTGGATATGTTTATCAAGAATCTTTGGAACAGTCCAGAATCACTATAGATATAATACAAAACAACATCTTAGTCATGCCTGACTATGGTTTATGTGTGTAGTAAATGTGCATAATACTGAATGCTTATACATATGTGTACTGAATGTACACAGTAATGAACATAATATAATACATACATAATAATGGATCATTCTCAGCACTGCAGTAACACTGATGTGGTGGTGGTGTGTTAGTGTGTGTTGTGCTGGTACGAGTGGATCAGACACAGCAGTGCTGCTGGGGTTTTTAAACACCTCAGTGTCACTGCTGGACTGAGAACTGAAGACATCCAGCCAACAGTATCCTGTGGGCAGTGTCCTGTGACCACTGATGAAGGACTAGAGGATGACCAACACAAACTGTGCAGCAGCAGATGAGCTATCGTCTCTGACTTTCCATCTACAAGGTGGACTGACAAGGTAGGAGTGTCTAATAGAGTGGACAGTGAGTGGACACAGTGTTTAAAAACTCCAGCAGTACTGCTGTGTCTGATCCACTCGCACCAGCACAACACACACTAACACACCACCACCACATCAGTGTTACTGCACTGCTGAGAATGATCCACCAACCAAATAGTACCTGCTCTGTGAGGGTCCATGGGGTCCTGACCACTGAAGAACAGGGTAAAAGGGGGCTAACAAAGTATGCAGAGAAACAGATGGACTACAGTCTGTAACTGTAGAACTACAAAGCGCACCTATATAGTAAGTGGAGCTGATAAAATGGACAATGAGCGTGGAAACAAGGAGGTGGTCATAATGTTATGCCTGATCAGTGTATATATATGCATAAGCTGAATGTGTAGTACTAAATACACTGTGCTTATACGTTTGCATGTACTGAATGCACTATGCTAAGCTTTCCCTTTTTCATTCAAATACTTTATTTGGGTATTTGCTCTGCCTCCAAATATACACTTCACTGACCCTAACGCACACACACACACACACACACACACACACACACACACAGAGCCGTCACGTGTTTTTCTTAATGAAGGGCTGCTAAATCTGGGAAAAGGACGCAGAGAGCGATAAGAGCTGTGTCAATGACACACACACTCTCACATAGACACATACAGGAAACACAAGGACAGATTGATACGCACACAAATGCTGCTCTGCTTGAAGTGCTATATTAATGACCAGCTGTAGCAGGTTCCTTGCCACTTCCCTCCCCATTCAGTGAGTCACACAACACACTGGGACCTATTTTAAGCTTCCTTAGTGTGTCCCTTTTGTTTGTCTCGAAGTGTGTGTATGTGCTTGAGCACAAGGAAACAGGCTTCATTTGATGCTTTGGACTCACAAAATAATAGGGCACCAAGATGACCATTATTAGAGTTCATGAAGGATCAAGGGACTGCATGTATAGCCATGTTAGCTTTGGTCACAGGTAGATAAAAATCTGATAAATCCAGCACAAGCCAGGACCACACAGTGACAAAGGTGTTCTTTATAAAGAGCATGACCGTATTTGTTTGACGGAGATATAGATGCGTACTACCCTGGTCCAAGGCAAAGTGCTGTTGTAGTGAGAACAAAGTGGTTGCACAATATAGAAAAAGTAGCATATTACATTTACATACCTACATACTGTGATTTGCCTTAGAGTATATTAAAAATACACTGTTGAAGATTTTATGTAACGTGACTAACCTGCATTATTTTAAACAAAATTTAGATTCATTCCTCATCTCATTCCTGACCTGAATCCTTCTAGACACCATAGAATTGCATTTGGATCATCTGTGATTGGTCAGGACGCTCACAGCTAGGCCTGTCACAATTATTACAAAATCACCTGATCACAGTTATCTGAGATTATTACAATTATTTTCCATAGACATTATGTTTTATGATTATGTTGCATCACAAGCAGGATGTGAATTGGGTGTTTTCATCAGTTTGGTTGAGACAAATAACCACAAAAAAGAATGCAAGAAACACATTCACTGATATGCATCAGTTAACTTGGTCCTATAATACGTTTGCAGGGTTGAGACGAGTGATGTTTGTTTATTTGTTCGCTAAGTAGCTAATTCTAATGATGTTAGCACATAAAGAATGAATATTTTTTTTTGAGAACTATGTAAGCTTTGCTTGACTGACTACACAATTCTTTGTAACTCCAGGCATTTGCATATCAAATTCATGTTAATACAACATATTAACTATAAGGAATTTCATGTTAATACAACATATTAACCATAAGGGATGTGACTGAAAAGGCAGAGACAGTGTGGCTCTATCAGGCTTGTACCTGCATAACACACTATGGCTGTGTTTACATGCAAAGGCTTTTGCCAATCCGATTAAATACATTCCGATTATAGATTAAGACTGAGGTGTTTATGCTCACTCTACTCAACAATCTGATGGAAAATCTCTGTTTACATGCTCACAACAAGTAATCTGATCCAAAACGAACCACTTAGTGTAGATGTTACCATGACATCGAGCATCACGTGAGTCCAGTCAGAGTGAGATGAGCAGCAGTGAGCAGTGCTTGTGTTTTTAACTGCTTTAAAATGATGTCAGACTCAGGAAAACGTCCTTCACATGTCCTTATTAAAGAAGGCCGAGAGGAAGACGTCGTGTTCTGAGACACGTAAGCTGGACGTCCGTCCCACCGCGGTCTTTTAAAGATCAGAGCATAAACTTTGTCTCCTCTGCAGACCAGTTTCTGCTCCGCCATGTTGAACGTTATAAACTTTCACTATGACGTGACGAACATGATCAGAACATACTTAAAACTTCAGATTGGGAATCTAATCTGATACAGAAATTTACATGGTTGTTATTCTTCTATTTATGGGATTATTTACAGGATTAATCACCTCGTTCAATCGGACAGAAATTCCGAATGACCTCAATCGGATGTATTCTATTCTGATTGAGCTATTAGTCTGAAAATTAACGGATTAGTAGGCTCTCTTTAACGTGGCTTAAGTTAGAGCAAAAACATGGAAAAGTGTAGTGTGCACCCAGGACTGGGTTGAGAAACACTGGGCTGCAGGAATTATGTGCATTGTGTATTGCCTTCTACAATATCAGTAAAAGGCCAATATTGTGAGAACAATTAAAAACCAACATAATGGGCAGCTCTATCCAGTTCCAGAGCTACTGAAGAGCGACATATGTACACGTGTTAATGTGTGTGTCGTACCCAGGTCGAAGCCTACAGTGCTGTTGAGGCGTGATGGAGGGAAGCTGTGTGGGATGCTGTTTCTGGAGTAGGGGATCTGTAGAGCAATCTCTGGTGGCTTCTCACGAACTAAAGCATTAGTGGGGTACAGGAACTGGGCATAGGATACCGTCTAAATGGATAAATAAATAGAATTAAAAAATAAACAAACAAACAAATAAATAATTCACACACATGTATATTAAATCACTGAATCCCCAAAATCAACCAACCACTGTCAGTCTTTCATTTTTATACATTAAGATGTCACCAGGAGCTTTCTAAGGCCCATCAAACATCAGTGAAATAAGCCTTTCAGCACTCAGCAGGCTGTCAATCAAACATGTCACTCGACGCTACCACCACCGTGCCGGCTATGACAGCTCCACTGACGTCTGGATTAATCCAGTGATTGGCTGAGCTCTTACCCTGCCGTACATGCCCAACTCAACACCCTCCAGCCCAGGAAACATGTCCAGTGTGGAAATCCCTCCGGACGAGTGCCTCCGCCTTTGGGTGTTCAGCGCTGGGTCACTGAGAGAGAGAGACACAGATAGAGAGAGAGAAAGAGAGAAAGAGAAAGAGAGAAAGAGAGAAAGAGAGAAAGAGAGAAAGAGAGAGAGAGAGAGAGAGAGAGAGAGAGAGAGAGAGAGAGAGAGAGAGAGGGGGGGGGCAAGAAAGAAAGAGAAAAAGAAAGAAAGTACAAAGGAAAGAAGGGTGTGGGAAAAATACAGAGAGATATAGACAGAAAGAGGGTGAGAGGAAGAGAGAAAGAGAGAAAGAAAGAAAGGAAGAAAGAAAAAGAAAGAAAGAAAGAAAAAGAGAAAAAAGATAAAAAATGAGAGAAAGAGAGAGAGAGAGAGAGAGAGAGAGAGAGAGAGAGAGAGAGAGAGAGAGAGAGAGAGAGGGAGGGGGATAGAGAAAGACAGACAGAGAGGGCAAGGGCAAGAAAGAAAGAAAGAAAGAAAGAAAGAAAGAAAGGTGAGGGAGGAAGAGATAGACAGAAAAAGGATGACAGACATAGTGAGAGGAAGAAAAACAGAGAAAGACAGACAGAGGTTTAGAGAGAAAGAAAGTGAAAGAAGAAGGAGAGAAGGAGAGAGACAGAGAGAGAGGGAGAGAGAGATAAAGAGAGAAAAAGAAAATTACATTGAGAGACAGACAGAGAGACAGACAGAGAGACAGAGAGAGAGAGAGACTCTAGTTTTCCTGTGTGCTCAGTCAGTAATTAGCTTTATCATTCTCAGAAGGAGAAAACTCCCTGAAAAAAGCTGATTATCTCTACATCTGGCTTAACTTAGTCACACGTAAAACACGGCAGCAGGAGCAGAGGAGCTCTTTATAGACCAGATCATCATAAATTCTGCATGAGAGCGAGAGAGATTATCTATTGTATAGTGTTGCAACAGAGATGAAAGATGAGAGATGAGAGAGGACAGAGTGAAGAAAGAGAGGACAGTAGCAGTTCAGAACAGAAGCTGGTCTTTTGAAGCCCCTTGGCTGAAAAAGCCGACAGGCTTCCATTGATAACATTCATTCCAGTACAGCCTCAGCGAGCTCACCTAACGCACCCTGCTTCAATAGGCTCATTCAGACAGACACGCACACATTTCAGTAGGGCTCACCTATCACGCAGCACCTTCTACGTCTAGAGTCTCTAAATAATTCGCTCCTTGCTGCTTGTCTCTTCGCTCAGACTGAGTTCTCTGTCCTACTGGGGGCTGTACAGCCTCCACAGGCTACAGACAGCAGCTCTTCACACACTGACAGATGGGCATAGAAACTGACCTGAATCAGTCTGTCTAACACTGAGGCTGTCTTGACCCCACACACAACACACAAACACACACAAGCGGTTTTATTGTAAGCCAGGACGTGATGCATATTAGAGACGTGAATTTCTAGGCACCACATGATTCTATTTGATTTAGCTTCAGGGGGCCAGGATGCGTTTATAAAACAGCTTTTGATGTACCCTGACGCATCTGCATTTTGGAAATCCACTGACCCCTTAAATGGCCAGGGCTCACCCGCAGGCCCAAAGTTTTGTTACACACTTCTATAACCTAAGAGCAGCTCAGCCAGTTTGCATTGAAGTCTCTGTAGTTACTAAATACTAAGCCTTAATATGTATTAAGCCTGAGATTTTAAGGGGTTAAGTACATTACGTTTTTTATACATCACAACTTATGCAGCAGACATATCACTGCTGTCGGAAGAAAACCTTGCATCTCCATTTTTGTCATTTTTTAGTTTTTGACATGATTCAGAAATGCCTGTTGCCCTTTACGTTGTCTGTAAAATTCATGATGAATGGACCAAAAGAAACGGCCCAAAATGACCTGGAATAAAGTCTGGTTCCATTGACTTACATTAAAAGTAAAGTAGGTTTTTTCCTTCTCCTGTAAAGTTACCATTTTGGAGATACGAGGTTTTCTTCCGACAACAGCGAGATATATTTTACGATATAACATTAACTGATTCAATGATGTTTACTCTAGTTTAGGGCCGTTTTACCTCATCCAGACCAAATTTGTGACCAAATTTGTGACGGCAAACATGCGCGCATTAGTCAGATCCCGCACGCTTTTTTTTTCTCTCCTTCAAGCCGGGCTGTTCCAAAGTATCCTACTTTGTAAAGTCTCTGGGCGTTTATTTTACAGAAGTGGCAACGCAGACCTATATTAAAATCCAGTTAAGATGTTTTTGAGAGAGAGAGAGAATTGTGATGCATCTAAGTATTGATTATTTTTTATTATGTATGTCAGACAAAAACCTAGCAGACCATTTCTACTAGTTTATCCAACATGAAACTTTCACACAATTCTCACATTCTTTCACACATTTCAATTATATTTAAATATGTTTAAAAAAAAAAATGAAATAAAATTAAACAAAAAACAAAAATGAAGACAAGGTTTTGTTCAGACAGCAATGATAGCACATTGTATGATATTAACGTATGTATTACAAATACACAGTAGAGTTTAAAAGTCTGACACCATGATCTTTTTTTTTATTTATTTTTTTTTTACTTTTTTTTTTTTCAAACCTGGAAATAAACAGAAGGTTTCAAAATGTTAAAAAATTAAAACAAAGACAAGTAAAATGAGATATTTCTAGGTCATTATTTAAATTTAAGCAAATTAGTCTTATGCCTTCCAGCGAAACATGTGTTCAAATGACCCACCATGAGTGTGTTTACATGCACTCAATAACCTAAACATAATCGGATTTCTGCAGTTATCTGATTATTCAAATGGTCATGTAAACAGCACACTCGGATCTAGAAATCCGATTAAGAAATCCGTTAAACATAGCTGGACTTTAGTTTAGTAATCAGATTTCAGTGCATGTAAACTCTTACTCTGATTTCTTTCATATTTCTCAGTCTGCGCATGCGCAAAACAGACTGAAAATAAGCAAACAGCGTTGACGTCAGACTCAGCAAAACACTTTTGGAGCGATAATGAAACCAACTACATTCTCGACAAAATGAAGGATTTAAATATTCTTCATCTTCAAGTGATGTGATGGTTTTTAAAAAAGTCATGAAGTCTGAGTTCGTTACGTTTACGTCACGTCTTCTTCTGTGAGTTTATTGGCTGGTTGTATCCGATTACTGTCTGACTCATGTAGATCCAGAGTTTCCACATTATCTGATTATCTAAAGTGCATGTAAACATGTTGAATGTATTACTGACAAAATCTGATTTTCTGCAGTTATCAGATTATTAAATGCATGTAAACTCACTCAGTGCACTCAGATCTACTTATCAGAGGCTTTTGGGCAAACTATGTATACTGTTAATTAAAGCAAAAGGGGCACATAGAGGTCAAAATTAGAAGCCATAAAAAACAAAACCCTAATCTCAGTTAAAAAAAGAATTATGGATTTTCTCCTTTCGGATTAAAGAAATTAACATGCCATTTTTGTACAAAAGCAAGTTCCATTTTGTTGGTCCTGATGTTGTAGGTTAGCCCTGTTAAGTTCCTGGGAAGTCAGGACATTTTTGAGAGGATATTATTTTTCTGAAAGTCGGGAGATTTCTGTCCTCAAAAATGTACCAAAACAGACACACACACACACAAAAATGTATGACACCATCATCACCACAGACTTGTCCATCCCCCATCCATCTCTACCCTTTTATCAGACCTCAAGAGAGAAGAAAAACCTCTCGCTCGTTTACGTAACGTAACATAGCTGTGCAATTTCCTCTCTTTCTGCATGTCCGAATAAAGGATGGAGAAAAATGAACAGATGTACTTCGCTTCCTAGAGCCTGTTCCCTCCCTCGCCTGAGCTTTACTGAGCAGATCTGGCAGGATGAGTGGAGCAAAGGGTGGGAATGGGCAGGGAGGTCGCAGGCCAGGTCATGCCCATCTGGGCTCGGAACTGTGGGAAACATTCCTGCCTGACTCATTCGTCCAGTTTGGCTACTGAATCCCAAGAGGAAAGCCCTGATATCCTGCTCAACACAGGATTCACATTCTAATTCTTGCTCTCTGTGTTTATGTGGCGTCTGGCCGCTGTTGTTTATATACAGAAAATGTTGAGAGAAAAGTTTTAGAGAGGAAAGATAATAGTTGTGCAGAATGTGGAAAAGACAGACTGACTAACCGACAATGTGGGACTATAGGACACTAAGAAAAGTGACAAGAGGAGGGAGGATTTATAACAACATCAGTCAGCTTGGTAGAAGCGCTTGGCTGAAAGGTCCTGGGAAGTGTCTGTGTAAAGTGCTGTGGATCTTGGTTCAGGGCATCTACAGGTTTATGCAAATGAAAGACTTTTCAAGATCTTTTAAAGCCAGTTGTAATGAAATTTTGAAATCAGTAGCAAAAAAAGATGGATTCTTGGCTGCCGTTTCACATGTATAATAAATAATGTTAAGGAAAGTAAAATCAGTGGTAAAATTTGTGGTTAAATAGGGAACATTGTTTTGCCAATGTAATAAACTGCAGACGAACAGATGACCTCAGGCAGAAAATATAAAAATGTAAGACTTTTAAACTAATGACCTTCTAACTACCTGCATTTAATGACAAATGGACCAACACAAAGGGTCTTAAATTGCAGAATCAGCACAGGGTCTTCTACTAGGTTTATGTGTTTCCTCCTCACATAAAATCAAAATTTTAGATTTTTGTTACAGCAGAGATATTTTGTTTGTATGCGTGTATTTGGTACCTTATGTGGAAGCTCTCTCCATATGGCAGCACAGAAAATGCAGCACACAGTGATCTCTTAGCACAGATAAGCACAATCCTGCAACAGACAAAGGCACACATTAGAAAACACATACTCAACTTTTTCTCTTTCAGGGTCAGAAAAACGTTTGTGCACAAGCGCAGAGATAAAACATGTCTTGATGTGACCGTAATATACTAACAATGTGTGACATTAACGTTCGATTTACTAAGACTGCAGCTTATCATGTAGCCTCACCCATCTGCTAGGTGTGGGTGATAGGAACTTAAATTTATATTACGGTATTTTTTTTACTATTCAGACAATGACGATACAAAAAAAAGTGGGCGGCACGGTGGCGCAGTGGGTAGCGCTGTCGCCTCACAGCAAGAATGGCCTGGGTTTGATTCCTGGCCGGGTGACCAGGGTCATTTCTGTGTGGAATTTGCACGTTCTCCCCGTGTCTGCGTGGGTTTCCTCCGGGTACTCCGGTTTCCTCTCACAGTCCAAAAACATGCAGTCAGGCCAATAGGACATGCTAAAATTGCCCCTAGGTGTATGTATGTCTGTCTGTCTGTCTGCCCTGTGATGGACTGGCGACCGGTCCAGGGTGTATCCTGCCTTCCGCCCAATGACAGCTGGGATAGGCTCCAGCACCCCACCGTGACCCAGAATGATAAGCAGTTTAGATGATTGTAGCACGGCGTGTGCTACCCCGGGCTCAAGGAGGACGCTGGAGGCAGGGTTTAGGGTTGCAGCAGCCATCTCTTTAATTCCTCGCTCGCTGCTCCGCCTCCTCGTCACCGCCCCCAGCTGGCGGCTCAGCCGCCCGGGTCGAAGGTGAGGTGTAGTGGAGCGGCCTCGCTGCGTAACAGGGGGCGGGGCCCAGGTGGCGGAGCTCGGGACTCGCTTCTTCCCCTGGTGCCTCTCGTTACCGGCACCGTCGTTGTCTTCCTCCTCCCGCCGTCACTCGCGCCACTCTGAAATACTTGGGCTTTTTGCTCCGCCCCCTCCACACTCGTGGCTCTCTTCCTGCCGTCCTGGCCGAGGTTCGTCGCCGCTGGGTGTTCGGGCCCCGCCTTCCCGCCGACTCTCGCGGCCGTCATAATCGGGGCCCGGGGTGCGGGCGCATGCCACACCCTGGTGCCTCTCGTTACCGGCACCGTCGTCGTCTTCCTCCTCCCGCCGTCACTCGCGCCACTCTGAAGAGCTCGGGCTTTTCGCTCCGCCCCCTCCACACTCGCGGCTCTCTTCCTGCCGCCCTGACCGAGGTTCGTCGCCGCTCTCTCGCGGCCGTCATCGTCGGGGCCCGGGGGGCGGGCGCATGCCACAATGATGTATGTATGTACAATGTGAAAAAAGTTACAATAGTAACAGTAAAAATAACAAAAATAAAATAATAATGCTAGCACCATTATTATTGCTACTGCCGCCTCCATTATTATTACTATTATTATTATTATTATTATTATTATTATTATTATTATTATTATTGCAGCAATAGCAACTGTGTAAATACTACCACACTCCAGTAGCTTCTTCAGTATAGAAGCAGTTTTAAGCCATTCTCTCCTGCATCCTCTCCTCATGTTTGTCTTTACCTTATCAGTCCTCCTTAGCTTCATTCTGCACCTTGTATTTGTGTTTGCCATATCTAAAAAAGATAACAAGCCTGGAATGGTGGGCTAAGTTTATCACATGAAGTTTACTCTGTGCCCGTTGGACGCGTTTATGAGCTGACTGGTTCATCTTCGTCGTGCTTAACAGGCTTGACACGACTGCTCAATCAGAAGGCTGTCCAGGGTTAAAAAAAAAAAAGCACTGTGTTCATTTGTGACAAATTTGACCATTTATTCATTTGCTTAAAGAATATCTGTAGAACTTTCTTGCTGCCCCACTCAGCAGTACAAACGTGTGGAAGACCAGCGCATGTGAGCTCAAGCAGTCTTCAATACCCAAAATGTGACTAAACGTACACGTCACGGAGAGTAGTCCAATCAAACAACCAAACAAACAAACAAACAAACAAACAAACAAACAAACAAACATGTTCCTTGCCACTGTTTAATTTTATGTACACTGCACTTTAAATGTAGCTGGATTTGTCAGGCAAACGGCAAATCTGGCAACCCAGAACGACAGGATGAATCTGTTTTGTCCAACACACAGCCAGGTCCTTGCTCAACAGAGATAACCAAGAGTTCAAATGGAAAGCCTCGCAAAAAAGTACAAATAATGTGCAAACACGCAGCGTTACGGGCAAAACTGAACTTGTTCATGATGCTTCGTGCACGTGGCTCACACCAAACAACACTCACTTTATACGCACGCCTGTGTTAACCTGTACTGATTAACATAGGAGCGACTGTAAGCAGCAGTCAGTGGTGCAGTTTTGTCTACATCACCATTTTGTTTGTGCTGTTTGTGGTTCACTGTGTTTGGGCTAATCACAGTAACCACGGTACCGCAAAATTCATATCAGGAGAGAACATAATACCAGTATTCACTTTTACAGCGACATACCGCCCACCTCTCCCACCTACTGTTCACTTGTGAGATCAGAGTTCTTTAATAGTACTACCAAAATACTCCACACGGGTGTCTACTTCAGCTAAGAAAGCAGAATTTGACTACAGGCACACACTGCAGCCGCATCACAACACATTTTTCACTGTGTCTTCTCACAAAACACTTCTGGTCATAAGAGTTTAAACAGGTTTTCTGATGTAAACATTCTTTCAGCGTGTGTCCTAAGCTCACTCCTCCATCTAACCGCTATGTCTGTCATCGCTAACGTCTCTCAACACGTCTTTTCAGATTCTAGTCTTGCGGGGCCAGGCGCGGTCACTTAAAGAGGACACTTTTGGGAACAGCTTGTTAAACTGTTAGTGCTGGACCTTCTCTAATCCTATACCCTCTTAATGCCCAACTAAAAACACAAGCAAAACAAGCTAGTGAAAAGCTATAATTAGCTATACACTGTTCAAGATTAGTGTTTCAGCTACACTGAGTTTTTTCTGCGGTGTTCTCAGGGCACAAAAATCTCAGATGTGCTCAGTTCTACGAAAACACTTCAAATATTTTGTTTGGAGACAGTCACTTAGCTATCTGATGTCTTCTAAAGCTAAAAAGCTAAAAAAACTATTTTGCAATTCTTAGGTTCTTAGGGGAACTTACATCACATCCATGGGCTACGATATGGGCTAACAACAGCTTGTTATGGACTAACGATAAGCTTGTTTTCCATCTGAAAACGTTGACGAGTTCACCATCGCCCTCTACTTTGAGCTCCACTTTCACATTCCCACGCACATTTATCCCAAATGTTCTAATGGTTGTCCACAAATGTACTCATTACAAGATCACATCTGGCCCACGAGATGATTGAGGCCCTAATGCAAATTTAAGTCTAGTTTCAAAAGGAAAATCAACACAAAACTAACCGCCGCAGGTTTCGCTCATAACACGCCGGGCAGAGTGCGTCCAATGTGCGCCTGTTTTAGTGGTAGGCAAAAGATGATGCTGGCACACACTGACAGATACACTTAAATTTACATTTATAGAGTGAGAGTAAATTTAAATTTAGATGCCAAAGCCGTAGATCATGAAGCTACTGCAGTGCAAGCTAAGCTAAAATTAGCGCCTGGATGCTATTGTGCTAACAAAAACAAATCTTCAAAGCTTTGACAACAAACCACGTTATTTACAGCTATACTTGTTCACACAACACGTTTTCAGCAAATTAGAAGCCAAATATGTAATATACTTCAGGAAAAACGTTGTACATCAGTAAAATAGATTTGACGAGGCTGAAGTTGGCTTCCTATTAGCCAGCTTCTTGTTCGAATTTTCCCGTTCCACCTTAAACGGTGCAGCAGGTACATTCTGACGCCTCAGGCGAAATATGGCTCATGTGTTTCACGTCATTGATCAGCTCTTGGGATCGGCTAAGTTAGAGAGATATCGGCTGATCGCATATTTGGGCTGAAAATCGGCCAATTCCGATCAATCCTTCCATCTCTAACCACAAGATACGTATTGCCACTCAATGGTAAGACTATGGTTATGTTTCTTTGCTTCAGCAGTCTGCACAGGCTGCTCAGTGGTGGTTCTGTGGAGATGCTGACCATTGATGAATGGTAGTAGAGGCTTTTGTTAGTCTGACAAAGGGCACCTATTTGGTAAGTGGATCTGATAAAATGGACAGTGAGTGTAGATACAAGGTGTACCTAGTACAGTGGCTTCTGAGCGCACATTAGTGAACATTAATTAAATACGTTACATCAACACTGCTGCTGTTTTTCAGTGTGTGTGTCTTAGCAGGAATCCAAAAGAACCCACAAATCTGAAATATGTACATTTAAAGTGTCAATATCATAGAAAACGAAATTTCTCTCCTTTTTCATAATACAGAAATACAGGGCAGCCAATCAGAGCCCTCTCTGCATAGGAGTCTCTATAATTTTCATGACTCTCCATTGCTATGAGTAATAACACTTATGGCTGGCAATAATTTAGCATCAAATCTCTTTGTGTGTTTATTTTCTCCAAAAACATCCCCGTAAACTCACTCTTAGGTCCACAATGCCTGCAGCGCAGTGCTGATGTGCTCTGTTTGTTTGTGGCTGGCAAGCAGCCTCAGCTGCAAGACAGGAGGAAGGAGGGGAAAGGGTTTGGGACAGATGTCGAGGGTTTGAGTCGGGGGGATTTGAGGGTTTGTGTTATGCTTCTTATCCCCTGAGCTCTGCGGTTCCTCCAGCCATGGAACGACAGCTATGTTTATTAAAGGCTTATTATAAACAGTCCCACACTGTTACTGACACTTTCCACTGCTTTTTCCCAAGCTTTGGCTTTTTTTTGCACAGGCTGTCATACTCCGGCTAGTGGAGGAAAGGGAAATGAGTGATTGGAGAGGCTGATTAGATATTTTCCACTGGCTGGTGGCCAAATCTTGACCTAAACCTAACTCTGAGTGACTTGATTTTCTAATAACAAACCATTTTTATATAGTTTATAGCTGCTCACCCAGCAAAAGCTAATATGATCCCAAAGCCAACTGCAACAGGTTTGATTATATT